GGAGGTGGTGGAGGGGGGTTGAAATCACACTGCATTCGGGCCAACAGCTGAGGCGGGGGTCTTCACAGTCTACCCGTGGCCCGCTTGAGAGGAGGGTTAGTGCCAGTTTCCAGAGTGTGTGCACGGCTGCTCGCCATCCGATCTGAAAATCTCACGGCTGCAATGTGACCAGGTTGATAAATACTCGTAAACAGAACTCAAGGAAGGGCTTACGGCATAAAAATAAAAATAAAATGAAATAAAATAAAATGAAAGAGGAAGGGCTTACGATATTAAAAAAAAGAAAAAAAGAAAAAAGGAAGGGCCCGTTATGGTGGATAACCCCCCTACCGTATTCCCCCGAACAGAACGCACCCTGATAATGAATGTATGTATGCAAGCTATATCTCCGGTCATTTACAGCCAAAATGAGGGTGGGGGGAAGACGGGTAGGTACTGAGAGACGAAGGAGGGCGTAGTAATTGCGACGAAATGCTTCGGGGAGACCCAAGAGCCTAACCTGCTTCCGCCGAATACAGCGTAACGGTCATTATGCCTGTATTTGGAGCAACTTCCCGTCCAGATACAGCAATAATGACCGTACGTTCTATTCTCCAGATGATTGAACTTGAGGAGGAATAAAACCAAATACTGTCACTCCCCACGAATATGACTGGAGCCATCGATCAATGCAGGCTCTGTGGCCTTGAGGGTTCTCTTACCATCCTCGAGGACTTTGTCTTTTTTTTTTTTTTTTTTTTTTTTCCGAGGACATTGTCTGCCGGTGGAGGGAGAAAAAAGAAAAAAGAAAGAAAAAAAAGAGCTGTAATTTCAAATCCAGAGGCGTAGTAATCGCGACGAAATGCTTTCGGGGTTCGGAAACAGGCATAGATCCTGGGCGAGGTTCCACTACCGGTAGCAAAACAAAGAGGATAGGATGAAGCACCTGAATTTGGATGGGTTTCGAGTATAGATGCCGAAAAGCAGATCAATGTCGATTTTCTGCACCTCTCTCCAAAGACGTCCAGATTCATTCAGGCGTTCAATCAAATCCTCTTTGCTAGTGAGACCTTGGCCCCGCAGATTTCCCAAATGGGCAATAACCCCGTGTACTGCAGGTGAATTCGGGGGGGAGGTACACACACTACCGTCTTCCCCCCGAACACAACGCACGTTTATGTTGGCGGTATATGCCCTGAAATATAGCTTGTATACATTCATTTTTAGGGTGCGTTATGTTCGGGGGAAGACGGGAAAGGTTGCTACGCAGTCTTTTAGTAGTTTGGCCAGGGCTGAGGTCCCACTAGCAAAGAGGATCGGATTGAATGCCTGAATCTGGATGTGTTTCACGCAAAGATGCAGAAATGCAGTTCAATCTCGATTTCCTGCACCTGTGCAGAAACACGTCCAGATTCAGGCATTCAATCCGATCGTCGTGGCTAGTGGGACGGTCATTTTCGCTGCATCTGGACTGAAGTGTGGGCCAAATGCAGCCATAAATGACCGTACGTGAACTATTGGGGGAAGACGGTAGTAGTAAAGCGGATTGGATTTACACCCTGAATCCGGACGTGTTTATGGAGAGGTGCAGAAACTACTGATTGATCTGTTGTTTCTGCATCGGGGTCACATCGAAATTCTTTACTTTGTCCTTCGGGACATCTGTTAAAATTGGAGCGATACAGAGAAAGAAGATTAGCATGGCCCCTGCGCTATTAAGGATGACACGCATAAATCGAGAAATGGTCCCAAAAAAAAAAAAAAAAAAAAAAAATCTTTTGCTTTTTTTAAAAATATATATTTATTTACGTTTTAATTTATTTTTGGTCCCGCCGGGCAAGTTGCCCCAGGCCACTCTGGTAGCCTAACTGTGACACGACACTAAGGGCCTCGCTTCACTACTGTTGAAATGCACAAAAGACAAAAATCATGGTGGTGTATCTGTCCATGTTCTAGCGGAAGATTCACTCTCGTTTTGCACCTTTCGAGAGTACTGGAGCGAGGCCCTAACAGAAGTGTTTGTTGAAAAAAACACAATATAGGGCCTCGCTGCACTACTCTCGACATGCACAAAAGACAAAAATCATGGCCGTGTATCTTTCCATATTCTAGCGCAAGATTCACTCTCCTTTTGCACATTTCGAGAGTAGTGCAGCGAGGCCCATAGTCCAATCTCGATTGGAAAGCAAGTTGTTGTTATTTATGCGGCTGTCAAAAAAGGTCATTTAGTTTTCTCAAATTCTTAAATATGAACAAGAGGTGTTGAAATCAAATGATCCACATTGGTTCAGCCTCCTGATGAGTCGGTGAAACTCCGACGAAACAGTTTGTCACAGCCCCTCGTTTGTTGTCCTCTTCTCTCTCTCTGCCTACGGTTTTACCGGGCAGTTCTGTTTGTGACGATATATAAAGAAAAACTGAAGTAGCATGATGATGCTAAAAAAAAAAAAAAAAAAAAAAGTATTTGCAACAGAAATGAAAATTGAAACAAATAAAACGTGATGGTGTTGTGCCCGTTGAAGTGTGTGTGGGGCATCAGATCGTACGGTGCACGTATGGCGCATCAGATCGTACCGTGCACGTATGGTAGCCTACCATCTCCCACCTGAATAGAACGCCTGGTCATTATCGCCTGTATCTAGACTGAAAGTTGCCGCGAATGCAGCAACTGGAATGACCGTACCTGAATAGAACGCACGGTCAGATCGTACGGTGCACGTATGGTAGCCTACCATCTCCCACCTGAATAGAACGCACGGTCAGTATCGTCTGTATCTAGACTGAAAGTTGCTGCGAATGAAGCAACTGCAATGACGGTACCTGAATAGAACGCACGGTCATTATCGCCTGTATCTAGACTGAAAGTTGCTGCGAATGCAGCAACTGCAATGACCGTGCCTGAATAGAACGCTCGGTCACGATCGCCTGTATCTAGACTGAAAGTTGCCGCGAATGCAGCAACTACAATGACCGTACGGGAAGACGGTAGAGAATGGGAAAATTTATAATTTTTTTTGCTCTGTTTTTAGAAAGTGTAAAGATTCTAATTAGTAGGTACTTCGTGACTTTGGGAGGTTTGCCTTAAGGTTTGACTTAAGCCGCTTGTACCTTTCCCAGGCAAAAAAAAAAAAAAAAAACGCAGGTTAACACGGAGGCCGGCCTGAATAGAACGCAGGGATTATGATCGGCTGTACCTAGAGTGAAAGTTGCTGCGAATGCAGAAACTGTATTGACCGTACGGAAGACGGCAGACAATGGGAACGTTTATAATATTTTTTCTGTGTGTGTGTGTGTGTGTTTTATAGGGAAAAAAAAAAAAAACTTTCTGCGGCCGTTTTCTGTGTTTTAGAAAGGGTAAAGATTCTAATTAGGAAAAAAAAAAATTGACTTAGTGTCTTCGGGAGGTTTGACTGACTTAAGATTGCTCAGTAGATGGAATGGTACAGTTCTGGTACTCTGCATTTTATTCATTTTGAGTAATTGATGTTCGGTGTTCAGTTTGCTCAACGCCTGAATCTGGACGTGTCTGAGGAGATGTGCAGATGGTCCCAGGATAACTCCGGGGACCAAGTCCCACTAGCAGCACGCCTGAATCGGGACGAGTCTGAGGAGATGTGCAGATGGTCCCAGCATAACTCGGGGGCTGAGTCCCACTAGCAGCTTTGAGTTTCCTCAACGCCTCGGAGGAGATGTGCAGAAATCGTGTTGAGCTTCCTCAAATGCACATCTCAGGCGTTGAAGAAAAAGGGCATTCCGCTCTACCCACATTTGTCAGGGGCATTTTGGCATATATCTCAACTCATGAGGGTATTTTGCAAATTATCCCAAAAAAAATGATGTAGTGAAAGAAAGAAAAAACCACTGGCTCGGGGGAGCCCCCCACCCCCACTGACAAACGGCGTCTAATGGTCCCACTGTATGGGCCTCCTGGCTCCACTCATCAAATGTGAAAGGGACAAAAATATTTCGGGTGTATATTTCCACGTTGTGGCGGGAAATGCATTCTCAGCTTTTGCACAATGGTTGAGTTGTGCGGCGAGGC